ACAGGAAGCAGGCGGCTTGTCAAAGGTCGCCACATTTGCCCTGATGATCTTTTCCAGATGAATTTGAAAATTTAACTGTTCGCATTTACGGCTACGGCGGGAAGGCGGTTCCGTGGTTTTATAATCCTATGGGTGAAACAGCATCTCCTCTTCTCATTCCTATATTGTGGCTTGTTGAGCTTGAAATCGTAGTTCCTTGTTCGTGTTACATCTGACCTTTTGAAGAAATTGTTGGGATCAACATCCTCCAAATTGTTCAGTATTTTACAAAATTAAATGATCTCCGAACTGTCATGCCTGGTTTGTAACGTTGTTAGCCCTGTGGCCCTACCTTGAGGTTACCTTGAGGTGCTTCCGGGGCTTAGCGTCCCCGCGGCCCGGTCGTCGACCAGGCCTCCTGGTTGACGACCCTCGACCATTCGACCCTCGACCATGACGGCCCTCAACCATTCCTTATATGAGAGTTGACTTAGCTTGGAATGAATTTTGTTGCCCGGTGTTGCACCTTCTCCAGAGCAGCTATGGCTGTCTGAAGATGACGTCTCCATGCCTGGATGCAATAATCCAGGTGGGGGCGCACCTGAGATTTATAAAGTTGAATGACTATCTTCTTTTCCTTATAGGTACGCTTAATTATTTCTAGGGTTATGGTTAGTTTTTTTTTTTACTGCTGCTCCCACTTGTTGTGCAACTTTCAGTGAATGATTGATTCTGACGCCAAGGTCCTTTTCTTCGTCAATCTGCTGCAAGGTAATGGTGTTAATTTGGTAGTTGTGACGTGGATTGTTATGCCCCATATGGAAAGTCTTGCATTTATCGACATTAAAAAGCACTTGCCAGCCTTCTGACCATTTGTGAAGTTTACTTAGGTCTCTTTGTAAGGTCTCAATATCATTTTCACTTCCCACTTAGAATAAAAAAAATTCTAAGATTTTTATCATAAATCTTAGTGTCTTTTGTAAAATTGATGATGCGGTTTGTAATATTCTCATCTGTCATGGAGGTATATGACAAGAGTCGGCCCAAAATGGGCCCTTGTAGTACCCCACTCGCCACGTTTCTCAAGTCAGATTTATTTCTGTTTAGGACGACTCAGTCAGGCTACTATAAGTAGTGGTCAGGTTATCATTTGAAAATCTAACATTGTCTTATATAAATGCATGAGTTAGGTCAATATGCTGAAGTCAGACTAATAAAAATGTTCGACTCATGCAAATGTAAATTCTAATCATGGAATATACATGATTAAATTCTGTTCGTAATTTACCTGAGTGCCACTAACCCTAGTGGTCTCGACGAGGACAGGAAGCCGGCGGCTTGTCGAATGTCCCCCACCATTTGCCTTGATGATCTTTTCCAGTTGTACTTCAAAATTTAACAGACTTTTGGCAGTTACGGCTTCAGCAGGTAGGCGGTTCCACAGGTTCATAATCCTGTGGGTGAAAAAGCATCTGTTCTGACTCCAACACTGTGGCTTGTTGAAATTTAAACCGTTGCTCCTTGTTTGTGTTACATCTGACGTTTTGAAGAAATTTGCCGAATCTATAGCTTCCAATAAATATAGTAATATAAATGTCTCGATCATTTTAAGTACAGTTGGGCTCATGATCTTTGTCCCCCAAATGCATTAACATGTGAATCTTCCTATGTCCAAAGTGAGCCCTGATTGGTGCATGTTTAAACAAGTAGATAGTTATCTACTTGTTTAACCTCAACCTCAACCATCTACATCAACCATCAGTAGATGGTTGATGATTCTGGCAATTGTATTAGTCTGACTGGTAATTATATTAACCTGACTGGCAATTACAATAACCTGACCGGCAATTATATTAGCCTAACTAGCAATTATATTATCCTAACTAGCAATGATATTAGCCTAACTAACAATTACATTAGCCTAACTAGCAATTATATTAGCCTAACTAACAATTACATTAGCCTAACTAGCAATTATATTAACCTAACTAGATGTTTAAACAACATCGCTTTGAGGTTCTCCTCGTCGTGTCCCATTTGCTAAATCGTACATTGGTACCACCGAACAGAAAGTCCTTGTTGACAGAAGCCTAAAACCGGGCGTCTACTGTAGGTCTACAAATTACATATTCTTGCAGGTACCTGATATATAAATAAAACGCTAGACTATTCTGTACACATTACATCGCTGAGACAGGATGAGGAGACAGCAATGACCATAATTGGAGACACAAGCGCTTCCTACCAGAGGGTCGGAAGCGCTTAAGACTGGAATCTGCATCTAGACAAAATTCTGTAATAATGAAGACTCATATGAATACAAAAAAAATTTCCTCGAAGAACGTAACGAGGAGAAAAGGCAAATTTCACATGGCTAGGGGAAATTTAAGGATTATTTTATGCTCTAAAGAGCAACCTATCCTCGAACCAAGTCCATTCCATCCACCGGTCGACCCCAAAGACGCATTCGTCAATTTTAACATGCTGTTCATTCAAAACTGAAATTTTCGCAAATATAAATTAATATTATATATTAGCATATTGTGCATATTTAGGCATTGGTTAGGTTAGGTGTTTAGGTTCTGTTAGCGATTATTTGTAGTACGTGGGTGAAGCATTTACTGCGTTGAGGTTCGAACAAAAGTCGTCAGTAAACAACCCGTCCTCGACTCAAGTCCATTACATTCAGCGGTCAACCCTACAGACGCATTCATAAATTTTAACATGCTGTTCATTCAAAACGGGAATTTTCGCAAGTATAAATTAATATTATAATATATTAGTATATTGTGCATATATAGGTATAGGATAGGTTAGGTTAGATGTTTAGGTTCTGTTGGCGATTATTTGTATTTGTAGTACGTGGGTGAAGCATTTATAGCGTTGTGATTCGAACAAAATTCGTCAGTGAAGCACTTGTTCCGGATATGTTCGAACGTCAGCAGTTGTGAGTCGTGTGTAAACCGCTTTTCATTCATTAACAGGGGGTTTGGCGGGTGGATGGAATCACTTTTGGGTCTTTGTTTGGAGGACGGGCTGCAGTAAAGCACTTGTTCCGGAAGTGTTCGAACGTCATCAGTTGAGTCGTGTGTAAACCGTTTTTCATTCATAAACAGGGGGGGTTTGGCGGGTGCATGGAATGGACTTTTGCCTTTGTTTATGAAGACGGGCTGCTAAAGAGAGAATCAAAATTTTCTGAGCTTGTTCTGACGCTCGTGGTTTCGTGTTCAAGTAATCTTCAAGTGCGCATCCTAAACCCCAAAAGCTGAACCTTAAATTTAAACCATGAGCCTTTCCCATGCGGTGAAACTGGCAATTAAGGAATTTGTCGAACCCTTACACTTACTTTTTTTGTGTGTGTACGATGGGCTACAAGCGTCCAGAGGTTATTACCACCTCTACCAGCAAATCCACGACCATCAGCTGCTGCCAGAACTATTACCAACACTACTAGTTGCTGTCAGAGGCCCCCAGCTGCAGTTAATTGCTAGCCCCTTTTGCTCAATTTGATATTAACAGTCCCGTCCTCTTACAAATTACGTCGCTTTTCGCTCGTATGCGATACGGCCAAATATCTACGTAATTCAAAATTGAAATTTATTTTCCAATTAAATTAATTTTTTCCTCCAAAACAGTTAAGGGTCCTCTGGTAGGTTAGAAGGGCGGGACGTTCTAAGATTTCAAACCGTCATGAAAACCGTTAATCGAAAGTTTTCTCTCCTAACCTAACAGCTTAAGCCAGAGGACCAGAAACAGAAAACGGGACAGTACGTCACTTTCGTGAGCCGATTTCATTTTGAATTACGTCGATTTTTAGCCTGAGTGGCGCATTCCAGCGGAAAGCGACGCAATTTGTAAGAGGATGGGTTGTACCAGGAGCGCCCTGGGCGTTGTTCACCCCCTTCCCCTTCTCATGGGGGGAAGGGGGTCAGCAACGCAAGGTTTTTTTCAGCAGTTCAAGGGTTTTTTCAGCAGTTCAAGGTTTTTTTTCAGCAGTTTAAGGTTTTTTTTCAGCAGTTCAAGGGTTTTTTCAGCAGTTCAAGGTTTTTTTTCAGCAGTTCAAGGTTTTTTTTCAGCAGTTCAAGGGTTTTTTTCAGCAGTTCAAGGTTTTTTTTCGGCAGTTCAAGGTTTTTTTCAGCAGTTCAAGGGTTTTTTCAGCAGTTCAAGTTTTTTTTTCAGCAGTTCAAGGGTTTTTTTCAGCAGTTCAAGGTTTTTTTCAGCAGTTCAAGGGTTTTTCAGCAGTTCAAGGTTTTTTTCAGCAGTTCAAGGGTTTTTCAGCAGTTCAAGGTTTTTTTTCAGCAGTTCAAGGTTTTTTTCAGCAGTTCAAGGGTTTTTTCAGCAGTTCAAGGGTTTTTTCAGCAGTTCAAGGTTTTTTTTCGGCAGTTCAAGGTTTTTTTCAGCAGTTCAAGGGTTTTTTTTCAGCAGTTCAAGGTTTTTTTTCAGCAGTTCAAGGGTTTTTTCAGCAGCCCCCCCCCCCCCAACTGCCGTTCCAGGGCAGCCTATTGAAAAAAAAATTGTCTTCGAAAATTTGTAAATGATAATACACTCCCTTGAAAATATATAATATTAATGATGACAATTTTTTGTTTTTGTAATTCGAATATTAAAATATCTACGTCTATATATCACGAATATTTGTTTAGTTAACGTTAAGCATTATTGTAACGCATGAGTCATTTAGTATTTTCTTCTGATAAACGTTCATTTCTCCCCTTCCATTTCTGCCGTCACCTCTGATGATGATGTCCATATCTTCACACACCTTTTATACCTCCACCCACTCTCCCTCTGCCCTCACCGGGACCCGGTACCTCCACCCACACACCTTCAACCGCCATCGGGACCCGGTACCTCCACCCACACACCTTCAACCGCCATCGGGACCCGGTACCTCCACCCACACACCTTCAACCGCCATCGGGACCCGGTACCTCCACCCACACACCTTCAACCGCCATCGGGACCCGGTACCTCCACCCACACACCTTCAACCGCCACCGGGACCCGGTACCTCCACCCAGTACCGCGGGCGTGGGTTCTGAACGCGCCGGAAATCTACGTCCATCGCGGGTCACCCATCAACCTGACCTGCGTTGTGAGCCACGGTACGGAGCTCCCCGTCTTCATCTACTGGCTTCATCTTAACAAGGTGAGTCCCTCTCCTGGTGAGTCCCTCTCCTGGTGAGTCTCTGCTGGTAAGGTGAATCCCTCTCCTGTTAAGTCTCTACTGGTAAAGTGACAACTTGTTTGCGTTAGGTAAACGCCTCAACATGTCCCCCCCACTCACCAATACAAGGTAATGTAAAGCTTTATCGCAGCCTTTACTCAGTGTGTGTATATACGCTGGCATAGCTGATAAGTGAGACTTGGTTCATAACCATTCACTTTGGCCCTTGCCTCCTACTACCACCAGACTCACTCTCTGTCTCTCTCTCTGTCTGTCTCTCTCTCTCTCTCTCTCTCTCTCTCTCTCTCTCTCTCTCTCTCTCTCTCTCTCTCTCTCTCTCTCTCTCTCTCTCTCTCTCTCTCTCTCTCTCTCTCTCGTTTTCCTTCTCTTTTCTCAGTTTTTTATAACTAAAATAATGGTTCAACGGAATTAGTGCTGATGGTCCTAATGGAACTGGCAGGTAATACCAGCTGTTATCCAACATCAGTTCACTTGAAGCCTGGACGGAGAGACTCACTTACTTGATGAACCTATTCATTGTATCCATTAGGAGTAAACTATATTTAATGCTAACACGCGAGAGGATGACCCAGCAGCAGCAGCAGCAGCAACAGCAGCAGCAGCAGCAGCAGCCCCACTTCACGGGTCTCTGTGTATGTGGAGGGAGCATGATGCAGATGTGTACCACTTACGGGCTATTCATGCCCGTGCCACCTCTTGGGTGGCTTTATCTTTATCAATCAATGCAGATGTGTGTCTGCCTTGGAATTAATGATCGTTAATTAAGTGATGGCCTTGAGAAGGACAGCCAATGGGAGGCTGGGGATTACTGAGCACATTAGGCTGTGATTACAGGCCTCTGGTTGTAAACAAAGTTGGGATTTGTATATATATGTGAACAAGCCTGAATGGTACCCAGGCATACATGCAACTTCTGGGGTGTGAGTTTTCAGTTGCTTGTGTATATATATATATATATATATATATATATATATATATATATATATATATATATATATATATATATATATATATATATATATATATATATATATATATATATATTTGTAAGTCTTCCCTCGTTTCGTTGCTGTTGTTAAGGCTTTAATGTGTCTTGTGTACTGACAAGTCCAACCTTATTGTGTTGTGAGTAAAGATGAACCTTCTCGCATTGTTCTCTGCCTCGTCCAGAATACTGATACAAGATGGTAAGTAGGTAATCTAGGGCAGTAGTTCATACTGAAAATGGGAATGAACTTGTATACCCCCAATGTTTTACAACCCCTTCTGCCAAGATGGTGTGAGATGCGAGGTATGACTTTGTTTCCTTCTTGCCTTGCTTGCTGCCTTAAGCGCGTGCCTCTTCATGTTCATTAAAGAGTCAAATATCATTCCCAAGATTTCAGTTTCACTACAGACCACTTTTTTGCAAATTATTTTAATACATTTTCAAGTTGTTATATAATGCTGTTGTTATCATCGTTTGTGTGTTCTCCGTCGCATATGTGAACTGCCATCGCCTTCCTGAGGTAGATATGGCTGCAAATCTGTGATTAACGACCTTTGTAGCAATTAATATTTCTTCTTTTCCATATGTCATTGGTAGAATACAATCAGCATTGGCCTGGGCTTTAGAGATGAGATCTTGAGGTTATCTTGAAATGATTTCGGGGCTTTTTAGTGTCCCCGCGGCCCGGTCCTCGACCAGCTGACTAACACCCAGGTACCTATTTTACTGCTAGGTAACAGGGGCATAGGGTGAAAGAAACTCTGCCCATTGTTTCTCGCCGGCGCCTGGGATCGAACCCAGGACCACAGGATCACAAGTCCAGCGTGCTGTCTGCTCGGCCGACCGGCTCCCGCAGATGTAGTCAGTCATTGCCAAAGACATTCCACAAGAAAGGAGCAAGTATGTTACCCTGCTATACCATGGCACCAATTGAGTGGCTTTCAGAATCTGTTCAATGGGGACTGCACTTAATGCCAGCTCTTGAAGGCAGCTCCTTATTAGCTGTGAAATGGAAGCCTCACGCACCAAATGCTTTAAGCTGTGCTAGTAGTGACCTGCCTACTGTGACCTGCCTGAAACGCTGTGCGTACTAGTGGCTTTACAAGATTGTAAATACTATCCTATGTACTCTCACAAACCCAATGTACCTTCTTGTATATACAGTAAATAAATAAATGGATAAATAAATAAATAAATAAATAAATAAATAAGTAGTCCAGAGTTCCATACCCAATAAGAGGCTCATGTAAAGTCCAATGCTAGAACATAGCTGATCTTGGACTCATCCAGTGATTGATGCCACTTAATAATTACTAATTACCAATTACTAATTAATGGAGAGGTTTAGCAAAAAGATCAGCAGCAAAAACGACCTTTCCTTAAATGGTCGACCACACAGTAATCGACGATGGTTAAACAAAAAATGCTGTTAATTGCTGACAAATTAATATGTGGATAATTTTGGCAGTAACTGACAGCAGTGACTGTAGTTATCGACCACTGACCGTCTCTTCTCCTTGTGTAATGGAACTACATCCGCCTTACTCACGGAAATTACAATAGCGTGATATATCAAATGAACAAATCCACCAGGGCCGTGATGAGGCTTCGAACTTACCCCCGGATGATCCCAGACCCTGCATTAGTCGAGTGTTTCACCATATCGTGGCGCAGTCGACTAAGCCAGCGTCTGGAATCATCCCGGGCATAAGTTCGAACCCTGATCACGGCCCTTGTGGATATGTACATCTGCCTTCCTCCATAGGGAGCGTCAAATTCCTAGGTAGAGTTGACGGACGAGAGTAAGCCAGCAGGTCCGCGCGACTACATAAGAATCTCGGCCTGTTTTATGACAAGGATACATGTCAACCTCTTGAATAACTACTTTTGAGAGGTTTGGTAATATCTTGGCGGCAAAATGTATGGCAGTAGGTCATCCATTCCCTGAAGGCCAGCCATTTCTTGCTTGCTAGTAGGTTAGCTTATTCCTGAGTGCTTTTGATTGTTGATTGTTGCCGCCGAAGGCGGCTAGTTTATTGTGCACCCCATACTCATCCTGTGAGCGGTAGCGCAAAAGCATTACAGAGGGCACAAAAGGTCTTTATCAGACCTCATCTTAGATTATTACATAAACAATTTCTTCTATCCTTCACACCTTATAGTTACAATGTCAGCTAGTTACAGAGAAAGTGCTATTACAAGAGCTACATATTTACAATAAGTCATCATACATTAATGGTAGGTCTTATCGCTAGAGTGCTGGTTGCACCAATCCTATAGTACTGAATTAGCAACCCGTCCTCTTAAAAATAACGTCACTTTTCGCTGGTATGCGCGCTATGGCCAAATTTGGACGTAATTTGAAATGAAATCGACTCACAAAAGTGACGTACTATTCCGTTTTCTGTTTGAGTCCTCCGGCTTACTCGGCCAGCTTAGAAGAGGAAACTTTCCATTAACGTTTTTCATACCGTTTTGAAACTTGATGAGAAGTTCCTGCCCACCTAACCTACCAGAGGACTCTTAACTTACTGTTGTTGAAAAAAAAAAATCTCAAATTTATTTTCATTTTTTTTTTCATTTTGAAATTACGTCCATATTCGGCCATACGGGCAAACGGCCAAAAGCGACGTTCTTTTTAAGAGGACAGGTTGGATTTAGAGTCAGAATTGTGTCCCCCCTGATAAATGTTTGTGCTGATCTTCACTCTGAGACCATCAGACTCTGGATTCAACTCTCCTGATTCAAGTTTTCTTCTTATTTCTGATTCCCATCCGGAGATGGATCGTTTCTAAACCGTTTTCATTTGACAACTATTTCGTTTGTGACTGTTGGTGTTATGAGTCAGAGATTCCTTGTATGTGTCCCCCAGGGAGGCCTGGTCGAGGACCGGGCCGCGGGGGACGTTGAGCCCCGAAACCATCGCAGGATAACCAGTCCTTATTTTTGGCCCCAGTTGTGATCCGGCCATAATGACCCCGGGAGGGGGGGGGGATATAATGATCACAGTATCGCCACCACCATCATCTCTCTCTTTGTCCTAATTTGTCTGTCTCTCTCTCTCTGCTATCTTGAGGTTATCTTGAGATGATTTGGGGGTTTAGTGTCCCCGCGGCCCGGTCCTCGACCAGTCCTCCACCCCCCAGGAAGCAGCCCGTAGCATTTGTCTTTGTCTTGCTGCCCATTTGTCTCCGCCTCCACCGGGGATCGAACCCGGGACCTCAGGACTACGAATCCGAAGCGCTGTCCACCCAGCTGTCAGGCGCCCTCATTATCTCTCTAGGAAATCTGTATATGGTTTACATCAAGTCGGAATTCGTATTAATATTATACATGTTATTAAATTGTACCTTTTTCATTTAAATTATTTGTGTGTATTGATTTTGCTGTGTAAAAGTGGACATATTATGAATAGATCTACGTAAGACCAGCCCAGGTGTGGCTTAAGGTAAACTAAAATATTCACAATCAATTAGTATGTCACATATACACTTATTAAATAAGCCAATATTGACTAAAAGCAAGTGCGAGAACGGGTTGGTGGCTTACTGGTGATCTCCACCACACCTCTCCCCCTCTCCCACACGGCAGTAGCCTCCCCCCACACGGCACTTCCCCCCCCCCCCCACACGGCACTTCCCCCCCACACACACGGCACTTGCCCCCCCCACACGGCACTTTCCCTCTCCTCCCCCACACACGGCACTTGCCCCCCCCCCCACACACACACGGCTCTTGACCCCCCAGCCCCCCTCCCCACACGGCACTAACTCTCTCCTGGGTGTCACAGATAATAGACTACGAGGGTCGAGAGGGCGTGACGATAGACACACAGACGGGCCGCGACACAGTGAGCCACCTGCTGGTGAAGGAGGCGGGACCCAGCGACTCCGGCAAGTACACCTGCAGCCCCTCCAACGGCCAGGACGCCTTCGTCATCCTCAACGTCCTCAACGGTGGGTCCCCTTTTTTGACACGTTGGAGACGAATGACAACGGGGAAGGCTATCGGGGAACCTATACCGTTGATAGCTTAAGTAATAATTGTAAATAAGAAGCAATAAGATGCTTATCTTAACATACTAAGAAGGTTAGGTGAGGTCGGTGTTTTCTATGAAGCGTTTCAAGGTAAACTAAAATAGTCACAATCAATTAGTATGTCACATATGCACTTATTAAATAAGCCAATATTGATTATAAGCAAGTGCGAGAACGGGTTGCTTAGCGACAGTGAGAGGGATGTTATGACAACTATGAGGTGTAGAATCATGACAACAGTGTGGTGTTATGCCAATAGTGACAGTAGACTCATGACAGCAGTGTAGTGTTATGCCAATAGTGACAGTAGACTCATGACAACAGTGTAGTGTTATGCCAATAGTGACAGTAGACTCATGACAGCAGTGTGCCGTTGAGTGATGACACTAAGGATGGTGGTGGCATGGTAAGGATTATGTGAGAGAGATGTCAGCGCTGGGACTGGGCTACAAGTAGCTAAATGGGATGAATGACGGGTAAATGTTATGATGGGAAGACTAGTGGAATGGCAGGCAGGTAAGGTGGAATGATGGGCAGATTATTGAGATAGTAGAGTGGAGTTATATAAGTCAAATGAAAGGCAAGCAGGTGGATTGTTAGGTGGTCTGTTTGTGTGGTCTGTCCCACATACCAGTCAGTCACGGAGACGGTGATCCCAGGAATCACTACAAGGTACGTAAGGTGTGACGTGATCTTTCACTCCCAATGAAGAGATATGAAACGAAGTAATAAAATCACGTATCGTTATTATGTCTCATAATGCTTGAATTATGACTTGCATGACATTGGTGTATGCGAGTTGGCATGACAGGAGAACACCACAGTCTATGAAAGGAGCTGAATTTGATGATGGTAAATCAGATCACATTGTCTCCCATATTTTGAGCGAGGTCTTCACCCAGAGAGGTCTGCACCACCCTGGGCTCTGCGAAGCACACGGGACCAACACACCACCAACAATAAAGCAAATATATTGACCCAAGATAAAAGAAAACTTTGTGCTATTCAAGTGTGTTATCTCCAGCGTTATAACCGGTCATTACGCAGAGAGATAGTTTCATATTTTGTACCCTTGTCCCACCCCTCTATTGGAGTCTATCTCCCTCTATCGAAGTCTATCCCCCTCTATCGAAGTCTATCCCCCTCTATTGGAGTCTATCCCCCTCTATTGGAGTCTATCCCCCTCTATTGGAGTCTATCCCCCTCTATTGGAGTCTATCCCCCTCTATTGGAGTCTATCCCCCTCTATCGAAGTCTATCTCCCTCTATCGAAGTCTATCCCCCTCTATCGAAGTCTATCCCCCTCTATTGGAGTCTATCCCCTTTGCCTCTTCAGGTACAACTTTTCTCTCCTAATACACAAATCTGACTTCTCCTCGGATGACTATGACGAAACTTTTGCTTCTCCTCGGGTAGCTGGACAAATTCTTCGGCGAAGTTTACCCTCAAGTTTTATCGGCAGGCATTATAAGACAACTTTTTTGGGGTCTCTCTCGTTCCCAGATTATCTTTCTTTGTGTGTGCCCGGAGGTCCCCATGTGGGGGTGGTGGTGGCTGAATGGCATCGTTCTTCAGCTGTTTTCCACTCCTAACTGGATGTTTACAAAGCTTAGTTACACACTAACTGGTTGTTTACAAAGTTTACTTACACACTAACTGGTTGTTTACAAAGTTTACTTACACACTAACTGGTTGTTTACAAAGTTTACTTACACACTAACTGGTTGTTTACAAAGCTTAGTTCCATAAAGTTACATATGAGCGATGACTGACGCTACAAGACTACTTAAAACCGTTGTTCTTCTCTTAACTTCTTACTTGAAATTGCAATAATGTTTTACTTCGAGAGAGGCGAGTGACTTGTCTTGACCTAAGCCTAATAGGCTCAGGAATCTGTACACCAGTTGATTGACGGTTCAGAGACGGGACCAAGGAGCCGAAGCTCAACCCCCTGCAAGCACAATTTGGTGAGTATAATTACGTGGATTAGGTAAGTAGAGTTTCAAATGTAAATTTGATAGAGTCCAATATGTTCAGGAAGCACAAATAAATCACATTAACGTGATGTATCAGGGAGAAAATCAGTAGGAGCCATGAGAGGGATTCGAACGTATGGTCTGGGTACTCCTCAGGTTCGAATCTCCTGAGGGAGATTCGAACCCTCGGGTGAACATGCCTTAAATTACACTTGCCTTAGCAACTCGAACACCTACCCCACTCCAGCTTTCACACTTTACAGTGCCCAAAATGTAACTCATGGCTCCCAAAGGTGTAATATCTGCGCCAGTGAACATGATTTTTTCCTATGCTAGATTAATGGCAAGTGTGCCCCTGGGAACCATTAAGAAGCAAGGCCTTTTATGCAAATCATTTTACATATCACCCAATCATAGCCTTAATGTCACCAGCACCAGCAGGGAGCTGGTCGGCCGAGCGGACAGCACGCTGACTTGTGATCCTGTGGTCCCGGGTTCGATCCCGGGCGCCGCCGAGAAACAATGGGGACAGTTTCTTTCACCCTATGCCCCTGTTACCTAGCAGTAAATAGGTACCTGGGTGTTAGTCAGCTGTCACGGGCTGCTTCCTGGGGGTGGAGGCCTAGTCGAGGACCGGGCCGCGGGGACACTAAAGCCCCGAAATCATCTCAAGATAACCTCAAGATAACCTCAAGAATGGTGGGGAAAAACTCATTTATAACTCCCACGGCCAGAATATTGTCATACAGGTCTAACCCAAACGCTGCCTCGTATGGGCCAGTAGGCCTTCTGCAGTTACCTTTATTCTTATGTTCTTAATTTCAACATAACAAACAGGCTAATTGTTCCAGTAGCGATGCCTCCTTTTGTTCTTTTGATCATTTTCAATCCATGGGTCATCTACCAAATCCTCTCCTTGTCTACCTAGGTAATACCTCCGAGATATAATCATCTCTTATATTTTGTTTGTCCATTGTAATTCATTATTTGTTTTTCCGGCAACACACTGTTGGCAAACCTTCAAATGTTTCCAACATTTTCAGTGAGCTAGACGATGTTAAACACACTGTTGGCAAACCTTCAAATGTTCCCAACATTTTCAGTGAGCTAGACGATGTGCAACACACTGTTGGCAAACCTTCAAATGTTCCCAACATTTTCAGTGAGCTAGACGATGTGCAACACACTGTTGGCAAACCTTCAAATGTTCCCAACATTTTCAGTGAGCTAGAGGATGTTAGCGGTGCCAGCTACTGCACCGCGCCGAGGAACTAGCGTCACACACATATTCAACATTCTGTGTATTAATTTGGCTAATAGAGATGTTAGATTATTACAACATTGTGTGTGTGTGTGTGTGCCATGAACAGAGGCCCGTAATACTCTTGCTCTTACTCTTAGGTGTTTGCTCTTACTCTTAGGTGCTTGCTCTTACTCTTAGGTGCTTGCTCTTACTCTTAGGTGCTTGCTCTTACTCTTAGGTGCTTGCTCTTACTCTTAGGTGCTTGCTCTTACTCTTAGGTGCTTGCTCTTACTCTTAGGTGTTTGCTCTTACTCTTAGGTGCTTGCTCTTACTCTTAGGTGTTTGCTCTTACTCTTAGGTGTTTGCTCTTACTCTTAGGTGTTTGCTCTTACTCTTAGGTGTTTGCTCTTACTCTTAGGTGCTTACTCTTACTCTTAGGTGCTTGCTCTTGCTCTTAGGTGCTTGCTCTTACTCTTAGGTGCTTGCTCTTGCTCTTATTCTTGCGACTCTTGGGGGCCAACTTTTTTCTTTGATGGAAGGTGTAACTACAACTGGAAGGTCAGTTCTTGTGGCGTCTTGTTTCACCTTAATTACATGTTTCTTACATGCCCGAAACGCTTTGCGTAATAGTGGCTTTAGGCATTGTATGTACTAGCTCTACCTATAAGTCAAACAATCCTTGTAAATATTTATTGTATGTATGTACCTTACCTAAATAAAATTGTATTGTATAAAATTGCATTGTATTGTATTGTTTTTGTTCTGTTGGTCAGCTTGACCGCCCTTCCACGGAGAAATTTCTTGATGAAATTTTAAAGTACAAATCGAGACCACTGTCTCCTTGCCAGCATTATTAAGTTAATGATTGTCAAGCCAAAGTCAAAAGGAAAGATTTGCTTTTGTTTATTTTTTACTATACATTCAGCAATGCCTTTGCCTCACGACTATTGCTTCCCTGCAATAGTCGTGAGGATTTCAGCTCTATAACATGGAGATGTTAAGTGGCATTTAGCAATGTATAATCCTGGCTAACCAAACATAGTTCAGAATGTTTTGTTGATAAAACATGGTATTTATTAAGAAATATATATTTCAGTTCACTCACTTAACCCTCTATGAAAATCAGATTGCATATAAGGACAATACGAATGTTTTTAGGGAGCTTTTTATGACACATTTATCTTGAGTGTCACAAATGCTTATGCACTGAAAGTATTGCCCCGTGCCACGTGGAGTGCCACCTTGGGTGCCACCTGGAGTGCCACCTAGGGTGCCACCTGGGGTGCCACCTGGGGTGCCACCTGGAGTGCCACCTGGGGGGCCACCTGGGGTGCCTGTACTGGGTTATGGCTGCCCCGTGTATTCGCTAGTTTGTGTTGATCACGTTCTTGATATCACACCGAACCTGTCCCCAGAGGCCCACATCAAAAGGATATCATCAGCGGCATATGCTAGATTGGCCACCATAAGAACTGCCTTTAGAAACTTGTGTAAGGAATTGTTCAGGAGCTTGTATACCACTTATGTCAAACCAATCCTGGAGAATGCAGCTCCAGCCTGGAGTCCATACCTAGTTAAACACAAGACACATAGATGATTCAGAGGTATGCTACCAGACTAGTCCCGGAACTGAGAGGTATGAGCTTCGAGGAAAGGCTACGGAAGCTTAACCTCACGTCTATGGAAGACAGAAGAGTAAAGGGAGACATGATAACCACCTACAAAATTCTCAGGGAAATTGACAGGGGTGGACAAAGAAAATTATTTAGCACGGGTGGAATACGAACAAGGGGGACACAGGTGGAAACTTAGTACCCAAATGAGCCACAGAGACGTTAGAAAGAATTTTTTCAGTGTCAGAGTAGTTAACAAATGGAATGCATTAAATAGTGATGTGGTGGAGGCTGACTCCATACACAGTTTCAAATGTAGATATGATAGAGCCCAGTAGGCTCAGGAACCTGTACACCAGTTGATTGACAGTTGAGAGGCGAGACCAAAGAGCCAGAGCTCAACCCCCGCAAGCACAAGTAGGCGAGTACGCTATTTTGTATCATACTGACTTGCTTTTAGGCTCGTATTAATTTCATTCATCCGGGATGAAGAATTTATACGTTGAAACCGGCGTGACGTCATCACTAGCCCGCTGCAATCGCCATTTGTTGTTATAGATTCAGCTATTCGGAGCAAGTTCCAAGTAGCACGGGCTATGGTGAGCCCGTAACTTACCTGGCACAGGAGCGGGGCAAGTAGCACGGGCTATGGTGAGCCCGTAACTTACCTGGCACAGGAGCGGGGCAAGTAGCACGGGCTATGGTGAGCCCGTAACTTACCTGGCACAGGAGCGGGGCAAGTAGCACAGGCTATGGTGAGCCCGTAACTTACCTGGCACAGGAGCGGTGCTGTGTGTCTGCTCCCTGAATGGTCATTGTCTTCATAATGTCAGAGGTAACCTCCAGGTTACCTCTTCTCCATTGTTCACATTTTGAACAACGTAACTATTCTGAACCCGACATGGTCTAATGTTCAATCTTTATTGTGAGATTGGCAAATCACCAGGAACATTTATTTTACTAATATTAACGCGATCTCCCTACTTGCTGTGCAAAAATTTAATCAGTGAAGGCCACAGCTCAATATAAAAATGTTAAATCTACAGATTGCTGGAAACTTACGGTAAGGTCAGATTTCACAGCTATTTTTCCCGGTCTTAACTCTTATGTATTATCTTCACATGGAGACCAGTATTTACACAACAGAACATTGTGGTATTTTATACTTAAACCCTTTGTCATGGGTTCGTATCCTGGCCGGGGAGGATTTACTGGGCGCAAATCCTTAACTGTGTAGCCTCTGTTTAACTCAACAGTAAAATGGGTACTTGGTTGAAACAACGATTCTTCGCGGTGGGGATCGTATTCCAGGGACCTGCCCGAAATCCTACGCGTACTAGTGGCTGTACAAGAATGTAACAAGTCTTGTATATATCTCAAAAAAAAAATAAAATATGGTCCGGGAAAGTTAATTTTAAAGACTACTTCTGGTCTCACCCCCTACAGGGGAGCCCTGCTCTACCGCGGACCACATTTGGTCTCGTTCTTCATTGGCGCATCCTTCACTACCATTGGCGCTTCCTTCACTACCATTGGCACTTCCTTCACTACCATTGGCGCTTCCTTCACTACCATTGGCGCGTCCTCCACTACCATTGGCGCGTCCTTCACTACCATTGGCGCGTCCTCCACTACCATTGGCTCCTTCTCCACTACCATTGGCGCCTTCTCCACTACCATTGGCGCGTCCTCCACTACCATTGGCGCGTCCTCCAAGTAACTCTGGCCTTTCTACCCCATACAGGCGAATACCAGGCTGCAATGCAGACGAACAGAGGCGGCGCTGGTTGGGAGAGTTGGGACGCCCTGGTCATGATGCTGTCGTTACTGCACACTCTCATCTCACTCCGCTCGTAACATACCCAGGACCATCTCTCTCTCTCCAGTCGCGCTGTCAAGCCGCTCCCGATCCACCTCTTCCACCAGGGCTGGGAGTCCTCAAAATCCTCGTCTCTGGCGGTAACCTGGAGGCTCTGAGGTCATGGTTCAAATATTGACTTACGGTAGATTGGAGTTTTATATCAAGTGGAATTGTGTTAATTCGCAAGATCGGTGCTATTTGGTTAGGCCAGTTCTAGCTACATTGAGAGAAATACCTCTGAAAACAGTTATATCTTAAATATTATAGTATTCTTAAACCTAAACGAAATAATCTGAAAATACAGTTAATACACTGAAACAGCTAAACTTTCTGAAGCTGATTTAACAAGTTTTAATTTTATATCCACACTGACGACAAGAGTTCAAATCTAAATTAAACAATGAAACTTAAATTAAACCCCAAGCTCTGGCACACCAAGGAAATCAATAACAAACATTTATACTGCTAAATTACCAAGCATCGGGAACTCCAGAACCAACCAATTAGGCAAGCAATGCCAACTGGACTGCAAGTTCCCAGAACCAAGACTACCCAATCCAGAGGAAAGTTGAGAGTGTGAAGCAGCGCAGAGGAACACGTTTGGTCTTGTGCATGACCTCACCTCTGACTGGGTGACGAGGTCAGGTCAGAGGTCAGAGAGTCACATTGTTGGCACTCTGGCCCCCCGAGACCTTAAGACTGTGGCCTAATTATCGTTCCCCAGGTTGGCTGAGGCTATAAGGATAGCTTTGGACATAGCTTGCTAGGTGGCATACCTGAGCATCACGTCTAGTTCCCACAATGCAAGTAAGCTACAGGAAGTGCGAGATACCTTAAGTATGTCCTGAGTATATCTTGAATATATGCTAGTCATTCCAAGTATGGCGTACAGCTTACAAGGCTTCCATCACATGTCGACTCTTTGACACGATATGTGGCCGACACCAAATATGAGGTGTTGTCAACATAAACATGTACAGAAATGTGTGCTTTCATACATGTAAATATCATGAAACTTTAGCCATTTTAAAGGACATTGCGATACCGGTGGGTGCAGATTTTATGGTGATTTTTAACTTGTATATTTAAGACAAAAACAGGTTAAGTGCCCCTCCAGTGAAGCATGTGAGAAACTATTCATTGTACCTGTGTTAAAATAAAAAATACTGACAATGATGTTTGGTACATAATGACGGCAGTGTAGTACCTGCTGTGGAACTAATTACCTCAGACATTTTTATACCAATTCTACCTTCCATATAGTGTGTGTGTGTGTGTGTCTTCTGACATTTTATTGAACAATTAAAATACTGCAAATGGCTAACTGTATAATTATAATCATTTGCAACTCTAATATAGTAATCCACACAATATACACTACCTAATGAACGTGATAATCCGTACATTAGACAAACAGTATATCATTGGCAACTCGTGAGTGCCCTAACTAACCTTTGCTGTAAATAAAAATAAAAATAAATGAATCATTAGTATCAAATTGTTACAATCCATCCCGTCCTCACATTAGGCTGTTTAAAACAGCAGCAGCAGTCTTCCCCCAGACGCACTCATTAATTTTATCATACTGTGTATTATAAATTGGTTTGTTTTCATATAAAAATTAATATTATTATACATTAAAATTCTATGTATAGTTAGGCATAGGTTAGGTTAGCTTGGGTGTTTAGGTACTGTTGGTCTTTATATGTATATGAAGTACGTGGGTGAAGCATGTATAACATTGTGGTTAGAGATGTCATCAGTTTGTTCCGGAAGTGTTCGGACGTCATCAGTTGCGAGGCTTGTGTAAACCGCTTATCATTCATTAACAGGGTGGTTTAGGAGTTGGGTTAACGAGCATTTGGCTTTGTTTATGAGGACTGGCTGCATATCGAACGTAACAGTTCGAACATTTAAATAAACAGCACCAGATCTGAGTTCAAAAGGTAGTGGATCTCATCGATTCAAATAGTTTCCCATTGTTGTTATTGTCAGTAAACACGGAGTGAAAACTAAGTTGTGAATATGTTGAAGAATATTCTCAAGTTCCTGCCTAATGTAATAACTTATCGTACTGAAATATTGAAATTTTACATACTGTATGTCTTAAAGACATACAGTATGTAAAATTATGTCTTAAAGACATACCGTATGTAAAATTATGTCTTAAAGACATACAGTATGTAAAATTATGCCTTAAAGACATACAGTATGTAAAATTATGTCTTAAAGACATACAGTATGTAAAATTATGCCTTAAAGACATACAGTATGTAAAATTATGGACTGTAGGAACTGTGATAGTAGGTTTAAATTTGGTAGTTAAGAATCTCATCACAATTCCATAAAATATCTTGTTAGGAAACGCATTTGAAAGAAAAAAAATCACGCAAAAACTGAACTTAAATTTCAATTACTTTGTAATCCGAACAAAGATTGAAAGCCCTATTTATTAAAGTTTTAATTGTATAGTTTTGGACAAAAACTAAGATAATGTAAAACCAATCCTGTGAATGTGGCTTTAAGGTCAACTGACGTAACAAATTGATCTCCAATATTAGTAACTAATATATAAAGGAAAGAAATTTTAATACTGGATAGCTGGGTCTATCCAGTCAATCTTTCTAATCTTAACGCCATTAACGTGATGTGCAAAATTACCCCGAGCCTAACCCAGAACCCACCAATAGAAAATGGGACATCACGTCAATTTTGACGTGATGTACAGATTTTTAGTACATCAGTTGTTGATCTTTGGGGGATTTTACATCAAAATGCGATGTGCTATTCGGGAGTTCATAACAGCCTGTTATCATACGATAACATACATATAGTTGATATAACTCACATCCTCCTGTTTACATTGTACCTATTGTAACGATCGTCAGTAGTCACGAATTTGTAAATACTTAGTTTTTAGATAGTAGTATACTGACTTGTGAGGAATTCTTAAAAAAAGAAGCGTAAAAACAAACTTAAATATTTCTAGGCCTAGTATAGCACACATATGTACTATATTAGGCCTCAGATATCGTGTATTAGGCCTAGGAAGGGTAGGTTTGTCTTTGCAACACAAGTAATAAATAATTTTCCGGTTTGTCCAGCTCAATAGTGCCGATTTCTACTTTCTAATTTCGTTGTACGTCGGTATATATACCATGGTCCTCATCGTTACTATAAGTACTGCCACAACAGGAGGATGGGCTGTTTGATACGTATTTAAGAGGTATTGTGTAGGTGAACCTAAACAAAACACGAACAAATCCACAAGGGCCGTGACGAGGATTCGAACCTGCGTCTGGGAGCATCCCAGATACTGCCTTAATCGACTGAGCTACGATCTCTGTGTGTGATGTGGTAAACAAAACTCCCTAACCAAGCACGCTAACCAAACATAACAAGCTAAATCCCCAAACCTGGACTAACCAAATCACCAGAGCGAGCCTAACCAAATCCTCTTAGCATACCCGAATCCCTATGACATATCTAAGATGGTGCGCACATACTCTTGACCGTAGAGATGTGCACATACTCTTGTATTCACTGCGTCCCGTATCGGCTTAACACATATTCACATAAATAAACAGCTTTCAAATCTCCCCCCCCCCCAGCTTCTGAACGTCACAAAAGGTTGTTATTTTAGATTCAGTTACTCAAACCAAAAAGTTCCAAATAGCACGGGCTATGGTGAGCCCGTAACTCTAAGGTCACGGGGCTAAAGTCTGTGATTAAGTATAACTTTTATACTTCTTCCGTACATTGCGGCAGTATTCTCCGCCTCACCATTATCAAGAAATTTTGCATAAAGCTGTGCATTCGCTTCACCAGTGAGCTGGGTCTCGCTCCGTACCTCTCTCTCTCCCCTTCACTTCTTTAATGGTCAATATTTCAATTAAATTGCTGCTATTATCCCGCGCCTATTTGACCCAAGTTACTCTATTTCCTGCTCCACTGCTCGATTTCCATAACATGTTATTCCGCAAGGCTGTTGACGCTCGTACTGTGATGCCCAGTCAACTATATTACAACTATATTATTCATATATATATATAGGGAGTATAGGAGCGCTACTCCCTATATAGGGAGTAGCGCCTCTGGGTGGAAGAAGGGGGACCCATGACCTCAGAGAAAAGCACACATAACGCATTAGAGGGGGATTTTTAGGTCCCCTCCAATGCAGTTTCCATGTTTCCAAATGTGACAAGTTGTACACTGGTTAATACAATGAGTGTTATACGTTCCAAGTGCTCTTGGAGCTCCTCTGCTTCCGGACAGGAACCGAGGACGCAGCAGGCGTTTCCTCTTTGGATCGCCACACTGAGGCGCTGAAACAACAAACTGGAGGCCCTTGGGTCTCTGATGATGTCAACGAGCCAGGAACCCAATTCTTTGAGAAACCCAATACACTCCTTCATCAGGGGCCGAGCGTCTCAGACGTTATAGGAACAAAGGTGTATTGATCTTCCAGTCGCCTGTACCTGACTGATTTTGCTGCTTCCTATAGTCGGCCGCCCCACCTGCTTGATCAGCATCGAAGTCTATATAGGTGTCAGTGAGGGGTGGATACACATGTGTAGTCCCACACCAGCCCCTCTTTACCCCTCTTCCAGGTGTATATTGTGATGCCATCTGGTCGGATTTTTTTATTGTTGCCGCCGAAAGCGGCTAGTTTATTGTGCACCCCATACTCATCCTGTGAGCGGTAGCGCAAAAGCATTACAGAAGGCACAAAAGGTCTTTATCAGACCTCATCTTAGATTATTACATAAACAATTTCTTCTATCCTTCACACCTTATAGTTACAATGTCAGCTAGTTACAGAGGAAGTCGGAGTGTGGGATCATCCGGGGTTTGGGCTATCAGGATGTGTGGTTCTTTCTCTGCTGGGCACTGAGCTAAGGGAAGGCTCACTTTGATGATGTCATTAAGGTCTTTGATGATGTCATTAAGGTGAAGGTCTCACAGTGTAGCCCATGCAGTCCATATTGATCTGCTGTTGCAAATACACTTGTATTTAGCGTGAATTGGGGCACCAAGGTGGAGGACACTGCTATACAGAGGAATTTCGGATCTAAATGTGTGCCTGTCGCCGACATGAGCACTGCCAAAAGAAAGTCCCTTGCATGGGGGGTACGCACCACTCTGAGGACCTAGGATTTGTTATTTAGGCCTTGGATTGGCTAGAGTAGATTTACAGTTAATTTATTTCAGAATTATGCCCTTTAGAATTCCAGTATTACAAAACATGGACTATTTTAATGGTTACAACACCTATGTTTTGTACCGTTTATCCATAGTAGGGAGTCGAGCGGACAGCACGCTGGACTTGTGATCCTGTGGTCCCGGGTTCGGTCCCAGGCACCGGCGAGAAACAATGGGCAGAGTTTCTTTTACCCTATGCCCCTGTTACCTAGCAGTAAAATAGGTACCTGGGAGTTAGTTGTCACGGGCTGCTTCCTGGGGGTGGAGGCCTGGTCGAGGACCGGGCCGCGGGGACACTAAAGCCCCGAAATCATCTCAAGATAACGTTTCGGTCCGTCCTGGACCATTCTCAAGTCGATTTGTGTCACAAATCGACTTGAGAATGGTCCAGGACGGACCGAAACGTCGTCGTCCCTTCAACTTCTAGTGTGTGGTCTGGCCAACATACTTCAGCCACGTTATTGTGACTCATCGCCTGCATCTCAAGATAACCTCAAGATAGTAGGTATACGTGCTATCATTTCTGGAGGTTGGGTAGCAGTGACATCATGTCTTAATTCAGCCCGCTCTCCTAAGATTTCCCAACGTCTAGAAACTGTCGTACTAAAGTGTTCTTATCCTAACCTACCAGAGGACCCAAAACAGAAAACGGGACAATACCTCACTGTCGCGAGTCGCTTTAATTTTCTAGTACGACAATTTTTGGCCTTAGGTAAAGTATGCTTCCAAATGACCTGCTATTAGGAGGACGGGTTGGACAGATGACCGGTAATGCAGCCTTGTTCTCAGCACGCGCGCGCGCGCTCTTCACCGCCTGTATGTGTGTATAACAATGGAGACTTCAGAATTAAAATATTGTTTCTGTTTAATATTTTACAACAAGGTGTAATTCTCCCGAGCACCTTGCAGTGGGAAGTGACACATTAACCACCTGTGGCATATTTATATTTTCTTGGTTAGAGGAATTCGAGTCTGTCTCACTTCTTATATATCTTAGCAACGTTAACCTGAAGTTCTGAAATGTTGGGTTAAATGCTCTTTCGATTTTGCTTATTTGACATTTTTATTAAAATACGATGATATTAATTGCTCGTTTGTATATTTTATTAGTTAATTGTTATGTCTGGAGGCCGTTAATTAATTCTTTTTGATATATTCTCTGCCTCCTCCCTGGAAACACAAACCGAAACTGTCTCTATTTTCTGCTTGTTACAACTTGTAATAAAGCTGTTAAATCTTGGCTTAATGTGTTTATGACGTATTAGAACGTTGTTACAACTTGCTATATTGG